GACTAAATTCAGAACAGTGCTGAGCAATTAACACATTGCTACATTGACTTGCAAGTTGCAATTTGCCAGTACAAGTTCTAATACTGCAATATAAGATTAACTTAAAGCTTCAAGGTTTAAAAGAGGGAGGCTTCCTGATCTTCGTAGCCTGTTCGAAGCCATAAGCAATCTCAATAAGTTTAGGCTCTGAACCTTTTAATCCTCCAAAAGTAATACCAAATGGAATCCCCTCGTCGTCGTACCCAGCCGGAACATTAATACCCGGGAATTGGCCTTTTGCGAGAACTCTACAAAGAAAGTAATACGGTGACACCAGTGCATCTAACTTATTTTCTTTCATCAGCTTTATGAACCCTACTTTGGATCCTCTTGTTAAGTTTAATAATGCGTTCTTGTCTAGAATGCCAATCCCATTTGTTTTCTCAGCTTCCAAAAATAAGTCTTGGCCATATTCACTGGTCTTTTCCTGCAATACACATTTGTAAGCAAATTCAGAAAAAATAAATAAATAAATATATAATGACTTCTAAAGATCACCATATCCACTTTCTATTATCATATATAACGTTTCTATGGAAAAATAAAGGGCCTGTTTGTTGAGTTTTCTGAGAACTGGAAATTGAAGAACTGTACAAAAATATGTTTGGTTGAGAGTTTTCATAATTGTTTTTAGAAAACTGGTCCAAACAAACCCAAATTGGCCTTGAGCAAATGTCAGATTGGCGTATTTTGAAATCATACCAAAGCTGCTTGTTTATCGATGAGTGAGGATCAAACTAATAAAAGCTCAAATCCAAAATAGAACGGCGAAACTTTAGTTTGCGTTTAGTGTAGTATAGCTAATGCGGCAAAGTGATTGTATAGGATTGGTAAAATTTGTAAACAATCTGGAAAGCGTAAATAATAGACCTAATATCTACTAATCAGTTTATTGTGAAATCGGGCTAATTCATTCTTTTCATAGTCTAAAATTAAGTAATAATGATTATGTGAATTGTTACTTACCAAATGTGAGTGTTTATTGTTGAAGGCTATTGCATCTGCCAAGGATCGCACCGGAGAAGTGACTAGCTGCTTGAGATAAGCATTTAGAGCCAACTTGAACTCAGCCTCCATCACATTGTATTCGTCAGTTAGTAGGCCATTTACCATGGCATCCAAGTTGGGTATTTTCAGATGGTCTACCAAAATTGCACCTCCTTGCCTTATTTTGCACAGGAATAACAATAAATATGGCGTTAGTGTAACCAAGGCAAATCAAGGGCCAGTGTTAGACGAGCCTGCCCTTTAGTGCTTATTCATTCAATAAAATCAAACTCGTCTGCTGGCCACTTTGGACTCTCAGATGGTTTGCCAACTCCAAAGGCATCACTCAAACCAGCAACCCAAGAGGAGTACCGAGTACCCCCAAAGGCCTTACCAGCTGAGCTAGCCAAATATTTTTGACATCAACTTAAAGAGGTTCTTTCAAAAAAAACTTAAGAAGGCTTTTTACCTCAATGTGTTCAAATGGTGTTCAAAAACTCGAAAACTGTCGGAGTTGTCAGGGAAACCGAAGTAGAGGTCATCTGTTATCCCCAATCTCTTTCCCTTGAGCCCATCAGCCTTGAGAAATTGCAGATAACCACCTTTTGGAATATACTTTGAAGCTTTTCTTGTTTCCACAGCATCATGTGGATCAAAACCTACAATGGCGTCAAGAACATAAACAGCATCTGATACTGTCCTGCAGATTGGGCTGTCTTGTCCGACATGTTATAAACGTGATCAATTAGTAAACCATTATCATCTCAGATCAAGTTAAGCCAGCCAGTGCAAAGTTGCATCACTTACCCGACAGTGTCCTGTCTAGGTGAGATTGGGACGACACCGGATCGGCTCGTAAGGCCTACTGTGGGTTTGATCCCAACCACCGAATTATTACTTGATGGACATAGGATGGATCCATCTGTTTCTGAGCCTAGTGTTACTGCAGCCATGTTTGCAGCTACTGATATTGCTGATCCACTGCTTGATCCACATGGACCCGAAGAAGCTACGTATGGGTTCTGCATCAAATTAACAAGGATTATATCACAATTTAATAGTTGAATCCCAGCTAAAGGATCTTCAGAAACTAAATTCTAAAAATTTGGCCAAATTGTGTACCAAGATTTTTAGCTCTTATCCGAGTGATAGTGCTGGATTTGTAATTCATAAGAATGTGCCATAATACTTCATATTTTCATAAAAGGACAGGTACCAATCTCTATATTAAATTGCTGAAAGCAATGTGACAAAAAGCAACTAGTACTTCATTTTGTAAAATGTGCATAAACATTTAATCCTTAATTTCGTCATATGACACACATGAAATTGGGTGTGAAGTACTATTCCATTTCCTGTGAGACTTTTTCCACATATTTAAGATATTCTTTTTCTTTTTTCTTGTTATTGCTATGTCATAATGAATAATGAACGGAAAAAAAAACTTAGTGAAACAACCACACAATCAGGTTATAACGAGGAAAAGAGTGCCTGAAATTCCACAATTTTAACATTTCTAATGCCAAAATGGTGAAGAAATATATCTTTGATGGCCTATACTCCATTCGCTCCCTCATTTCAATTCAAAAATATATGTTGAAAGTAAAAAAAGGTCAAATTTTCTGTGTGTGTGTGTGACTGTGTGTGTCACAAAACCGTAATGAGCTAAATATATAATCGAGGACCCTTTGGACTAGCAACATTATTCCATTCTGGAACCAGTTTAGAAACAAATTGGTTACTTACCACACCTTGGCCACTTCTGGCATTCCATCCATTGGGTAAAGAGGATGACCGGAAAGCAGACCACTCGGTCGAGCTCGCTTTTCCCAATATTATTGCACCAGATTTCTTCAACTTCACTACCACACCTGCATCACGAGGCACAACAGATCCAAGAAGCGCAAATGATCCAGCTGTGGTGTTAAGCCTATCCCTGGTGGCAATATTATCCTTGACCAAAATGGGGATACCATGCAACCAAGACAATGGTCTGGGGACCTTAGCCTTCCGCTCTTGGTCTGCCTTATCTGCCAAGTAGAGCGCGTCCGGGTTCACCTCTATGACCCCTCTAAGAACAGGGTTGAGTCTATGAATCTCTCCGAGGTAGAATTCAACAAGTTGCCTTGAAGTGAGTCTGTTTTGCTTGAAAGCAATCTGGATATCGTGCACGGTAGCTTCTCTGATTGAGAATCAAATTCCTTCAACTTCAATGCTGAATCCAAATAAGGCCATTCCCAGAAGAAAATGCACGATGTGGAAGGCCATAATGAAAGAATTGAAAGAGAGAAACAAGCACAATCTTTGAAGACACAATGTCATCAATGGTTCACTAGGAAAATGTGAAGCTCATGTTGCTGAGAATGTTCTTTCAAGTATATGCTTCCTCTTTGAAAGGAAAAGAAAACATTCCTCTTTGAAAGGATAAGAAAACATTGACCCACCACAACTTTTTCCTTGTTGCATTCCATATTAGACAACCCCACCAAACAAAAACTGCTGAAAATATGGACATCAACACGTGTTTTCACTCTTCCAAAATGCACTGTTGATTAAGTGGAGAAAAAATAAACATAAATATCTATTTGAAGCTGCTGCCACAAGGATGACGTAAGCAGTTGAGATTGTGATATTAGAACAGCAAAATTGTTAACATTTGTTCACTCAACCTATATTATCCAGCTCTCTCGAGCTGTGATATCCAGCCAATTTTCCAAAAATGCATCTAGAAAATTCTTTTAGAAACACTCGGTTCATCATTTCGATAAACTGCAGATTTTTCCTACGTACTTGTATACATATAGATAAGAAAATTGGGGGGAGCCAACTATAGTGTTATGCCCCTATTACTTGACATGGCCTAAAGCAACAAAATGTAGCGAGGCGCAGAGCAATGACTCATTACCACAACCATATTTTGCTGCAAATTAAACTCCCAAGGCTTCAACAAAGTACACAGAGATTCAACATTGAAATGGAGGATTCCTAATATTGGTAGCTTGCTCGATTCTATTTGCAATTTATTTTTTAAAAAAGTTTGGCTCAGAACCATTTAGTCCTCCAAAATAGAAGCCAATTGGCACCCTCAAACTACCATATGCAGCCTGGGACACTAATTCAGTAACACCTAAATTACCAACTGTCATGTGAATTCAGATTGTCCCATAACCAGAAAAATATGCAGTATGTCATAGATGGCCACAATGAAAGAATCAAGAGATAGATGTTTGCTCTATGTAAGATTCTAAGTCATCAATTATTTCCTCTTACAAAAGATAAGCTTCTTTCAGGATATGAAAGAACAGAGCACTGACTTACCAGTTACCCTAACTTTTCCATTGTTGCTTTTGAACATTAGCCAAACAAAAAAGAGCATCCAAGAAGGGGTGGAGACCACATGTCCTTCACATTTGCAAATGACCTGTAATTTCAATGGGAAAAAAATATATATATTTAAAAAAAAGAAGCAAGAAATCAATTGTTATGAAGCTGATGAAGTAAGGGTGTAAGAATCCTGGAGGATGTAATATTTGGAATAACAGCATTGATAACATAACCTCACTCAGGCTATAATATCTAGCCTATTTTATGAAAATTCCAACCACAGAACTTTTCTTACACCCAAAAAATCACAGGTAAAGCACCATAAAGAATTTGAAACTATATCGTGATGTAGTCAATTGACTCTTCGATCTAAGACAGACAAAAAGCAAATTCGTTTTGGGGCTTCTCACAAATTTATCACTAATCAAGATAAAAATCACAAGTTAAATACAAATGCTATGTTTGGCGGCACCGAATAAGAGTCTTGGATTTGATATTGGAGAAAATTTTGTGCAAATTTTGAATTAAATATCCTCCAATCACAAAATCCAAATTCAATACTCCCAAACATAAACATAAGTCCCTTTTACAAAGAGTAAAAAATTTAAGAATTGCAAGGCATAATCATCATAATTCTTATCTTTGTTTCATATATGAATCATCTTCTTCCATTCTTTACTATTATAAGCCATATTTCTCTTATATTTATTTTTTTAATTAGGGAACCAAAACAATTTGCAGAAATACATCCTAAAATAAATTACAATATTGATGTCAATCATTGCTTATACTCAAAGGGCTTCACAATAAATCTTCTAACATACAAGTATATTCAAGAAACCCTTTGTAGCATCAAAACAACAATCAATGTAGGATAGATACTACACAAAAGGTTTAGGGTAAATTACAGCATGGCTTCGGCCAAAATGGTGGAAGACGAGGTGATTGATGTCGTCTCCATAGTAAGGAAAGTCTTAGACGGTGGCGGAAGGATAATCGTGTGCCCGACAGAGGTGGCGCGTGAAGGAGTAGCGCGTCAGCATAACGATTTGGCACCTATCGTTGCCATTCATTACTGCAAGCACTGGTCCAAGCCAAGTTTTAGGTAATGATGGTAAACGGATCATCTCCGGTGCGTTTTTTTTTTCTTTTTTGTTTTTCTCTGACGATCTCCAAGTTTAGCCCCTTAGTAAGTGTATTGGCAGGGTGAGTGTGTATACTCTTTTCTCTCTCTAGAAACCTCCGCCGACCCCTCTTTCAGCCGCGCCTCCCACTTTGTCTTCTCTCTTTTCTCCTTGCTCCCTTCCATGGGGAGGTAACGTTTCCTACCTCTCACAGGCTAAATAAGATCTGTTTTGGTTTGGCTTATTTCTGTCTAGATTGGGTGATCTGTATTTCTTTTTCTAGCTTAGATTTTAGATCTATGTTTTTTTATTGTCCCTAATTAGATCTCAGATTTATGTCAATTTTTGTGTTTTCCAACTTGTGCAGGGTTTGAATGGTTTTTCTACCAATGGAAAGGGCTCGTAAATGGAGCTTTGGAGCTGTTGCCTTTCTAATGGTCTAACTTTTATGTTACTCCCTTTAATACTCATGTGGTGGCTTGGCTATGTTATTCTTCTCAGCAAATTTGAAACCTGGCCTTCTTTTTTCTTCAGGTTTTATTTGCCATTTCATGGCTTGCCTTTATTACATCTGTAGTGTCATTTATGGATGTGTTGTGTAGATACCGTATAGCTGTTCTCTTATTACCATGATTAAAAATAAGAGGAATGCTAGTGATTGTCCTTTCACGGTCACTCTTCTTATTAACTATTTTAATTTTCATTAATTACTCTTTCTCTATTCTCAAGGAATGTGGAAAATATAACCTACTTTAAAACAAAACACACGACAAAACTATTTAAACTTTTAAAGACAAAACTACCCTTTAAATCATTTTTCATTACTTTTCTTGTATCTCCTCACTCAATCCACATACGTGTAGTATATATGTATTTCTTACTACCTTTATTTCTTTTCTTTTTATTTCAATTGTCGCCACTAATTATTTTTTTCCTTCCTTTTTTTTCTTTATTTCCCTCTTTTTTTTTTCTAAATTATTGCCATTAGCCTTTTTTTCCGTCCTTCCTTTCATTTTTTTTTTCTTATTATTATTATTTTTTTTTCTAAATTGCTCTGGTTTAATAACAAATTTGGTGAACATTCCTCTGTTCTTATTTGTTCAGGTTTAAAATTTAATAACAATTTGGTTTAATAATTTTTTTTCTAAATTTGGTGAACATTCCCCTGTCTTATTTGTTCGGGTTTAAAAAAAATAAAAATAAAAAATAAAAAAATGAAAGGAAGGATCAAAAAAAGGCTAATGGCAACAATTTAGAAAAAAAAAAAAAAGGAAGGAAAAAAATAACTAGTGGCCACAATTGAAATAAAAGGAAAGAAATAAAGGCAGTAAAAAAAAATATATATATATATATATACTAAACGTATATGGATTAAGGGAGGAGATACAAAAAGGTAATGAGAAGGGATTCAAAGGGTAGTTTTGTCTTTAAAAGGTGAGTTTTGTTTTAAAGTAGGTTATATTTTTCACATTTCTTGAGCATAGAGAAAGTGTAATTAATGAGAGTTAAAGTAACCAATGAGAAGAGCAACTTGAGCGATTGTCCTTAACATTCCTCTAAAAATAAAATAAGATAAAATAAAAAGATCTCCAAGTTTTCTGGATGGCACTTTATGGGGAAAAAACAAAACAAAAAAAGTCTGGAAATAAATTATTTTGGGATTTGGATTTGAAAAAAAAAAAAAAAAAAAAGATTCAATTTGAAATTAAATTTCATGTGTGTTTAAAATAAGCTACAATTTAATTATAAAGAAAATATTTATTTTATCATTTAATCTTTATTAATATTTATTGCAATATTATGTTTTATTAAAAAAAAAAATTAAGCGAAAATTGGGTAAGTTGCAAATTTATAAGTTAACTAATTTACAAATTCCATCAAGTTTTCCTCAAATTTTATGAGATCTAGGGACTTACTCAAAAACAGAAACGGCACATACAACAAGTTCTTGAATGGTTACCGTAGCATTGTAAAATTTGATGAGTCGAATAATGTAGCGGAAGCTAGAAAAAAGAATACAATCTCACAAGAAAATTATATACTCAATTCTTCATTTAAAAATAGGTTGAATGATTTTATAAGGATTTACAACCGACCACTTACTAAAGGGTTAAGTGCACTTAACTCCCCTCTGATATGCTTACAGGGCATATTGACCTCCTCATGTGCACAAAGCTCCCTTCAATTTTACAAAGGGTCGTGGTATATGAGCCTATGATTTTGGCCGATTAGCATGGCAAAATACACATAACAGTACAGGTAAGTAAATTTATTTTTTTTATTTTTTTTATTTTTTTCAGTAAAGTGGATTCCCTCTTGTTCCTCTTTTTCTCTTTCCTCTCTCTTTTATCGTTAAGGAATCCTTGCATACAGCCGTCACTGGCATTAATCACTCGGCCGGCTAAACACATCAGCCGTTTCACACGCGACAGCTTGCCGTCGCCATCTCTCCACCATCCGAGCTCTCTGCCATGGCTCCATCACAGATCGCCACTACAGGTCAGATCAACCTTAGCTGAGCCCGAGTTCATCCTCGCTGAACTCACCATAGAGAAGCTCACAGCCGAGCTTCTCCTTGCTCGCCGGCAGCCATCATCTGAGGCCATAAGCTCACGGCCAAGTCATCCACGACCAAGCACTCCACCAGCCAAGTTCTCCACATCCAAGCCTATCTTCATCCTTGCCATCCATCTCACCATCATCCCGCCCTTCGCCGGAATAACGACTTTTCCAGTTTCTGTTGTGGCCGCCATTAGGCCATTCCTCCATCGTCGCCAGTGGGGCTTTCTTTTGCTCATGATCATTCCAGCCCTGTTGCCGACCGTTTGCTCATTGCCATCACCATATCACCGAGGTTGTCGTCTTCTAAGTTCTCTGCACCGCCTTGCTCAACGGTCCGTCATTGCCGCTGCCTCACCATTTCGTGCTCTCTGCACCATCTTTGCTCACCGGTCCATTCCGTCTTCGTCTTCGCCGAACTTTATGCAGCAACCTTGTCCTGTTGATCTTATAAACCCAACCGATATGAAAAAAATTGGGTTTGTTAGAAAGAGAAAGAGAAAAAAGAAGAGGAGAGAGAAATTGAGGAACGTTGACAATTGTACAGCTAACTGGACAGCCACATGTTTCTGCCATGTCAAAATAATCGACCCAAATATCATTTTCCTTTTACAAATTGTGCAAATAGGTCCCATATAACAAATTAAAGTAATTGAATGACCAAGTTACCCTTTTATACACAATTTTTATATTTTTTTAAAAAAATTGCATTTATAAAATGACAAAAAAGGACATAAACTAAAATGATGTCCTTTTGCTCCATTTTTGCACTCTTCTTCTAAAAAAAAACACACACACACAGTTTACATATATATATATATATACACACATGTATGTATGATGGGTGATTAATCATCACAAAGAATTGAATCCAGGTTTAGAGAGAGAGAATAAGAGCATGGGGGTTTTCAGGAGCTCAATCTGGTTTCACCACCGTTCATCGTAAGCTCCTTTGCCGACTTGTGTGGACGCCGTCTCATCCATGGCCTCACAGATCACAAAACCACCGTTCTCTTCATTCTTGAAACCCCTTGTGGAGGCAATTTCAGTCGAACCTTGCTTCCTCGTTGTTTAGTCTCGATATACCACATTCCACCCTCCACTGGTGTTTTACTGGGTTTGCTTCTATTCGGTTTAGGAACCTGGGTTTATATTTTTGGGTTCAAAACCCTTATTATTATTATGATAAGAAGAAGAGTAATTATAGATCTGCACAATGAATACCATATGGATTTCGGCTCAATTTACAAATTGATAAATAAGTAATAACAAATTGCTCTAGTTCTTCCATTTGTGGAAAAAAAAAAAAAAAAAAAAAAAAAAGACCACCCAGTTGTGTGTTTGGGTGGGTGATGTTGAATGACGGCTATAGTAATTGGTGATAAAGGAAGGGCTGTGAGGTTATAGTTATTGGTGATGAAGGGCTGTGAGGTTAGGTTTTGCTTGGTTGTTTGGTGATGAAATGTGATACCCCTCGATTCTAGAGCCACAGGTGATCAAGTCTGAGCACAGATCCGAGGGATATCAAACAATTAAAGAATTTAATCGAACACAGAATACAAAATGAATTAAGAATAAATAAATAAGTGGAAAAAAACTAAATATTAAATCCTTAAATTAATAAATAAATAATCCTCCAAATGAAATATCAAAAACCTCCAATATCATTACAACTCGGGAATCCATCTAGTGGACCCCTAATAATATCCCTGATGGTAAAATATATGCTTCATGTGATATTTAAGATATAACAAACCTTATACTAATATGTCATGAGATAATTAACAATATGCTAAGAAATCATTAATTAAATATGCAACTCTATATTTAATTAAATATGCAAAATAAATTAATGAAATAATAATTATAAATAAAGAACATGGACCGAGGCTAGTATTGGATACTATGTCCTTAAGACAGATTCACCCCACTATAGTGCTAATGGACTCAGTGATGTCTATCTCCCAAGATACAACGGTCTACATCCACCAGTAGCAGCACTACAAACTCGTGGATACGGCGAACCTTCTCCATGTAATACTCTCTCTGACTTAAAAATGCATCTATGCTATATAAATGTTGAATTGGGTGCAATTCGAATCAAATGGTTCGGACCAATCTTAATATGGCTTGATGAAATTGGATTAGGGTCTAAGTGGTTCGGACCACTTAACCTATGGTTTGAACCCACTTGGGTTGGGTTCAAGTCTAGAGAGGGAGATAGAAGAAAATGAAAATGAACAACTTGCAAATGATCCAAAGAGGGGTATTTATAGAAACAGAAATGCCTTTTCGGATTGGGTGCGTCTCTTTATCATTGGACACAACCATTGCAATAGGTTGCAATGGTTCACATGGTGTTTATTCACCACTAGACACATCCATTCCAATAGGTTGTAATGGTTCACATGGTGTCTGTTCACCAATAAACACATCCATTCCAATAGGTTGCAATGGTTCACATGGTGTCTGTTCACCAATAAACACATCCATTCCAATAGGTTGCAATGGTTCACATGGTATCTGTTCACAATTAGACATATCCATTCCAATAGGTTGTAATGGTTCACATGAATAGTTATGTCTATTGGTTTTGAGTTGCAACCCTTTAGAAACAGATGCAACTCTTTGAAAAACAGATACAACGCTTTAGAAATAGATGCAACCCTTTGGAAAAAAACTAACTTTTAATTTAAATTCAAAAACCAACCACCCATTTAAATAAGCCCAGCCCAAAATTAAAGGCTCAATCTAAGATTCCTTTTAGTAAAAAGAATAATTGGACTTTACAATTAGACCCAAGCCCAAGCCTAAGCCCAAGCCCAAGCCCAAGCCCAAGTTTGGCTTCTTTAAATTTCAATTGGTTTCAACATTTTTTCCATGTGGGATAAACACTTCCTACATTTTGCATACCCATTTAGGCTTATCAAAGCACCACACTTTGGAGCTAATTTCTCATTCACCCGGAAACGGATTTGAGAAAGTAAATATACCATGGTCATCTCCTTATGGAGAGAAACGCGTTCGTCTAGAGATCCGCAAAAAATTCTTAGCAGAATCTATTCCAAATCTCATCCAAAGTTTATGCTTTTAATGCCTCTGTTTCCA